TTTAGTTAGGAATTTAGAAAGGAAAATGGAAAAGGTGAAGGAAATGTGAATGAAATATAATTAATTTTTTTCTCCATCTCCATTTCCCTTTCCCTTCCCAAATCCATGATCCAAACACATAGTTAAGCTTTTTCTATCAGATTACACCCGCACACATGCATACATATTGCATAACAATTATTCAATCAAAGACATGTGTTAGGTTTTTATTCTTGGCAATCCCGTTTGAACAAAACTCCTTTCAGTTGTACTTATTTTCGCACTTTTTATTTCAGTGAGCTATGAGTGTTTAGATGCGAATCCAACCCGAATTGTGCCATGCAGAGAAGTTTGTGATGTTAATGCTGTCAAGATTACCACTTTGCTGATTATGACGGGGACCGAGCTACCCGGTCAGGGTGGGTCCAAGGCAGCACTACGGCGGGGTCGAGGGGCAGCGCCCCTGAAGCAAAATGCAAAAATGGATTCAAAGTTGCCTGTCGGCTCAAGCGGAGAATGTTGAGTTCCAGAAGTTTATTCACCTGCAAAAATACTGGATGTTGTTTTTTCCCGCTCGAGCGGAGCTTTCCGAGCTAGAGCATAGGTCCGCTCGAGTGGCAAATCTGACGCTCGAGCGGAGATCGCGGGACAGATTTCTAGAAATACGTGTTTCAGTCCAAATCTAGGGTAACGCCTCCAGATCTTCTTCTTGGGTTTTAGGGTTTATATCTGAGGATATTTTGCTAGTTTTCTTTGATATTTTGATTGAGTATTCAACTCATGGTTTAAAGAGTATACATCAAAGGATTATTTGTTTGTTCTACACAAAAGAGAAAGTTATTCTTCGGTGGATTCTAAAGAATTCGAGCCTGAAGCTTTGGTGGAATCTGGAGTGGCTCATCGTCAAGACAATTCCGAGGTGAAGACGGGGTTGAAAAGGCACATAGGGGTTGGTTCGATTCGGGCATGGATTCGCTAGGTAATTAAGAGTATACCTGTTTAATTCCTTTATATCTTCTTAGTGGATTGTTTTGTGGCTATTGCCCGTGGTTTTTTTATCACAATTGGGGGTGTTCCAATTGTGGTTTTTCCACGTTAAAATCGTTGTGTCAATTTGTCTTGATTGTTTGATTGGGATTGTTTTATTGCTTAAAATTGATACATAATCACAAATCAATATCTAGCGGATTTCTAGATTTTTCAATATGGGCGAAGCTCTTAAACTAATTATCCAAAAGCATCTTGAGCAAGGATAAGCCCATGAGCAGCAATTTCTGTAACTAACTTTTCTCGATATTTCCCCTCTGACTTATCGATGCATTGGTTCAAAACACAACATCCGTGTTGATGAGTTGCAATATTAACACAGAACTTTGCAGCAGCGTCAAAAATTAGCTACAAAGATTAAAAAACAGAAAAGACCAAGAAGATTCAGAATCAATTTTTACATGAAGATGGATCTGCCAAAAAAACAAAAACAGTAACTAAGTAATCATACGATAGACTAAATATTAAACCACATAGGCATGCAATCAGATTATAGGTTTAATGGAATGTGGAAATCATATCTTGTCTAAGGTTCTCCACAGGTTATAAACAGATTGTAGGACAAAGGTTTAGAATGTTTGAAAGAAACCGTGTTGTTACTGCACGCTATCTTGAACGAAATACTCTGTTTTGATGGATTTTCACAAGAATATATGTTCTCAAGTAATATTCCAACAGTGTAAACCATAAGAAAGAGGGAAAAAAGAACAAGAAAAACAGATAATAATAAAAAAACAATTAAAAAACTAATATAAAAAAATAAATGACTAAAAGAGAAAAAAAAAAAAAAAAGAGAGAGGGATGTTGTGTTTACTATATATGCTAGTCTCCAAGCTAGGTACAGAAATACACTCATTTCATCCAGTATCCTATTCCATCCCATCCCACTCTACTGGACTGGCAATCAAACAAATATAATGTAAAATGCATCACATTGGGTAGAATGTTTCAACCTAAATTGGTGTTGGAACAGAAGGGGAAAAGTGCACTTGTCCTAAAACTAAGCTTTGCCATTACTAATTATAACTTCATGAAACAAAGCTTAATCTACCCAACTTAATTGAGCATTCTGTACAGAAGCTAATGATGCAATATCTAAGGCTTTTATGCTTAAATCGAGCACTATTCTCCGTTCATGTCAAGCATGCACTGATATGCAAAAATTATGACATTAGATTAAACATGAGCTGGATTGTCATTTTTGCGCAACTAATCAAAAGGGATGAAAATCTTTACCTTACTATCTTCCTTGCTAAGGCATTGTAAGCAACGTTGTATGACATGATTTCCATTCAAATCCTTAATAACATCAAGAAAACCAGGTTCAAGAGCTTGCACAACTAACAAAACCTTCTGTCTGCTTTTGAGAGTCTCAATCAACTTCTGCACCACGCAAGTATTGATAGGTTGCCTTCATTAACAGGTCCACAGAGGACCATGCTACTTGGCACTATATATTCTAGCCCTATATGTTACGAAATATGGAGAAGTTTCTTCTATTATGCTTTATTTCTTCAGCTTAGATTTTATTGAAATGGTCGGTTTTATTGGAGTACATATAATTTCTCTGTTGAAACTGTTTGACCAAGTTACATGGTTTGGGTTTTTAGTCAGAAAGGAAAGATAATAAAATCAGCATCAAGGTCAAAAGGCAGCTCAAGAAGCCGGAGTCCTCGACCAAGGTATGCATACGTTTTCTTTTCTTTTCTTTTCTTTTTGAGAATGATATAGGAAATGAAGTGGTCCTCTTCAAAAATAGTCCCATGTGGAATTTTATATGGCATTTAGGTCAAAGAAGTTGGCAAACATTTGCGAGATGTGGAAATTGATTATTCTCATTTATGTAGCTATATCTGACTTAGTATTCGTGATTTTATTTTATTGGAATATTTGTCTTTTGAGCAACTATGACACCCATGTGTCCGCTTATTTATGGTAATTTACCACCACCACCACCTCCACTATTTTACATCCACATTATTGAGGGTGTAGGTATGGCAACTGATTGTGTTTTGCATACTATTTTACATCTATATTATTTGACGACTTGGAAACTGACCATGTTTTGCATGGAGTCATGCGCTTCCAACCTCTTCCAATACAGAGCTGCCCCTCTCCAAACTTGTCTTGAAGTTGTTATAGGGTGGGCTAGCGGAAGATTACAGAAGAGTTAGGTTGGGATAGATATCCCAACAGGTTGTGAAAAGTCCTAAACTGTGATGGAAGTGTATGACGATACATCTTATACATAACTGATGTTAGCAGTTAAAATACGGCTTAATTTACATCCACACTATTGTGGAAAAATAAATTTCATTCCACATGGCTAGCAACCTTGGACATGGATTGGACAGTACAGCAACAGTTGTCTACTCAAATCCTTAATAGCAGGAAACTCTTGGCTCCTGCTTCTACCCTTGCTCCCACTCCACTCTCAATCTGAAACTTTTTATTTATGTAATATATATTTATATATATACATATATATTTATGCCCAAATTACCATAACGGGTACTAATCAGGTGTTTTTTTTAGGGTAACCACTAGTTCAATGGTTAAAATCTCGGCCTATTAACCTTGAGGTTATGGACAAATCGTACATTTATGCCAAAGGTTTGTTATGTACCCAATTTAACCCCTCCAAACACCCATTAATGGGTAATAATTGGACATTTTTTTAAATCTATATTTATGTTACTATAATGAGATTCCACTTCAGAATACTATTGAACTTTATTTTTATTTTTTTTTTCCATCTTTTTAAAGCTTGTAAAATACTTGGATTGAGGTGGCCTTAGCACGAGGAAGATCTGTACTTCGAAATAGAATGTTGCATAAATATTGAGATTTGAAAGGGAGATAGGTTAACACAACTTATTGTGGAAAGAGAATATGCCTGGTACTTTAAATAGATACATAACCGGGGGTGCGTTCACAACCCTGCTCTGGGGGAGGGGGTAGTACCTGGCAGGCTAGGTTGAATCCTATCCCTAATTGGGGACACTTATCTCTACAGGTGTTTTCTGGATCTTAGTAGATGATCAATTATTAATTAAGATTGTATTTTGTCTATTCTTATATAAGCTTTATTACATTTCTGAAAATTTTAATTGATATCACGAGTATTAGGGAATCCTTTATGTGGTGTCTTCTACATCTTAATAAATCATGAATTATTATAATTAAGAACTTAGAACATTTCTTGAGAGGGGACTTTTTTGACTTGTGAGTTATTATTTTTTAGAGAAATATTAGAAATTATGAAAAAAATTTCATGAAAATGATCATGAAAGATTTGTGACCCTTAGATTACCTTGATTAGTGTGTGGTGTTTTATTCTAAATGTAATCCAAAGGTCATAAATCTTTCATGATCAGTTTCATGAAAGACTTTTCATGATATCTAACATTACTGTATTTTTTATGCCTTAAATTTTCAATCTTGTTTGCTTTTCTGTCTTTTCTCTCCACTCTCTTCTTTGACATCCCCGATAACAGATTAAGGAGTATATTTCTATGTTATTCTATTGACTGTTTAATTGCATGTTTGTTTGTTTGTTTTGTTTGTTTGTTATTTTTTGTTTAAGTCACTACAGGAAATTCAGTTTTCAGTGGCGTTTGTAAAACGCCTCTAATTATCTGAAAAACACCGCTAAAACCTTTGGTGACGTTTTTATTATACGCCGCAGATACGGCCGTCATTATATGTTTGTGACGTTTAAAAAACGCCGTTGTAGACTTATTGCGACGTTTTAGAAACGTCATGCTACAATCACCGGCAGTGATTCCTTCCAGTGAGATGACGTCATACAGACCCTATAGCGGCATTTTTTACAAAAACACCACTAAAAGCACTTTTTTTTGGGGGGGGAGGAATGCAACCTAATGAAATTTTAACCATTCAGCAATAACATTTTATTTGCTCCTAGTTAGAATTCTGCAAACCTTGTTTCAAAAAACATATATATTCAACCAAACACATCAAAATTGAAATTACAAAAATCACAACCAAATTCATATACTCCATCATCATCTCAAAATTTAAAATACTAAAACAAAAAAAAAATATGTACAAATATGATTGATACACAACACTTTGAAGCCTCAATTTTGAACTTCTTCAACTTTGGAGAAAAGTTTCCCCATTTTTCCTGAGTTCATATAAGTTGCCCTGCCCAAAAAAAAATAAATAAAAGAAAAAAAAGAAAAAAAAAGAAAACATTTCACACAACTGAAATATAGAAAATACTAGAGACGAGTCACAATCAAATCACCTTGTCCAGCCAAACTACAACATATGATTTAATCCATAAGTTACGTGCAGATGTTTTGCTACAAAAATTTCCCAGAAATACAAAACACAGAACTTTAAAAGGAAATTACACAAATAAATTAAAAACTACTCTCTATTTTTTAGTCATGAGTTCTATACATTTTTCTGCACGTTTTACCATATGTAGCTAAACCCTACGTAAATTTTAGAATTTGATTATACATATAGATGCCAACATACAAATTTCAACTAATCAAGTTCATAAAAGTCATTCAGAGCGATCCAAAGCCATAACCCGATGTAGAACAAAACCCTACATAGAAGAAGATCAAAGGAGATTGAAAAATCCTAAAGAAAAATTACCAATCAAGTGCGCAAAAATAAGATTACCAAAATGAAAATCAAATAAGTACTCGAGATTAAAGGAGACATATCAAAGAGCTAAAATTCTAGTCTTCATTTGAACAAACTGAATATGAACAGATACAGAACTATTAGGCTTGCTCAAACTCAACATGATAATATTTGAAAAACAAGTTTTCCAACCACCTGAGCAGAGCCCAAACCAAAAACATATTTCTTCATAGAACTCAGTCTTTCAACAGAAAGCTGCAAAATGAAGACAAAATGCTTAGCTTTTCTTTGTGTTATTAGCAGATCAAATGTCATGGCAAATAGCTGTCTAGAGAAATTAACTTCAAGGTTTGATGGATTCTACCTCCAGGCCAATATTAAACATCAAGAAAACAACTTCAAATTCAGCTATCGCCTTTGTTCCATGTACATGATGAATAATAGAGACACCATAAGGTCCAATCAATATGACAGCAGTCAAATATCCAAGAACAGGACTGCCTAAACATTGCAACAGATAAAAAAGATACATCATCAATGAAACAAATAAAACTCCAAACACATATTAGAAGAAGAAAATGGCCAGAAAATACATGCAGATGGTGGCTGAGTCCAAGAACAGTATGATTGTTGTTATCAAACCCATTAAATTGTACTCCTGACAATTATAGTGTTCTACTTCTAGACTAAGTTTACAAAAGCATAATCAATAACAAACAAGGATAATGAGACATGAGCTATGAAACGCCAAGTAGAAAAACCTAGATATAAAAGAGTTCAGATAGTGGCATTTTGTATGTCATCCTTCTGCAGGAGCCATGCTAATCCTCTATGTACCATTCCAAATTTATCTGATACTATATAGGAACAATCATGAAGTGCATGTACCTTATACATCCAAACATGAAATCATGCCACATGCTGCGACCATCTTACACTAAAGAAGTCAAAGATGAGGCTTCAATTTAACTACTACAATAATAGATCATGAGATTCAGTTACCTCCAGGGATTTTTTGGACTATAAGCAAATATATGACACTTGCAAACAGCAACCACGACATGTCAAAAAGAGAAGCTTCCTCCACATTTACCTAAAAAAAATAAAAAATAAAAAAAGAATACTAAATCATGTAAACTGAAACAAAAAATATAATAAAATCCTAAACAAATAAGTAGTTAATAAAATGAACAAGAAAAGTGCAACTCTACTTAACTCAAGCAGACCAAATGACAGTACTAGGCTTGCTCAAACTCAACATTTCTTAATTTTCTCAGGTTCCAAATATCTTATGTCTTTTCATCTCTTACGAATTCCTAGTATTGATTTCCCTATGCTAGTGCAACTCTCAAGAAAATAGTGCGAAAATGGAACTACCTATAATGGCGACCCCTCTGCGAACTCTGCAACCAAAACAAGAAATAAGCTTCATATATATATATATATATACATACAATACACTTGAGGGACATATCTTAGAGTTGAATGAACAAATTTAAAATACTAGTAAAAAGCAATGTCTTGTGCTCTGTTTGGCAAAACGAAGAAACGAATTACACATTGAAGCCCCAAAAAAAAAAAAAAGAGAGAGAGAGAGAGAGAAAATCCTGTAAAACAGACCACAGACCACAGCTTAGAGCTTTAAAATCTTGATTTTCGATCAAAATCTCCAAAAACAAAGTATAAAATCAAATGCTAATGAAGGACTGGTTTTGCTTTTTGTGAAGAAGATAATCCGAAAACAGAAATCAAATTTTTAGTTGATGAAAAAATATGTGATTTTGATTAAGTTTGCATAAATGTGCTTGACATATCTTAACTTACCTTTTGGATGAGTTTGACCTGGCCAAACTCGATTGAGCTCTTCAATGGCGGTGTATAGACTGAAGCAGAGATCGAATGAACTTGAAATTGGTCTGCTTGAAGCAGAGATTGATAAGGCTGAGCTGTTGATGAAGGACACAGCACCACGCTTCAAGCCCCTGAACTAATGTTCTGTGATACCGAGGCTGTTGGATGCAACTCTCGATCGGCAGCAACATCTCTCTATCACCACTCCATTCTTTCCATTTGCTGGTGATCAAGAACTCCATCCCAATGCGTTGACCATAAAGAGGAAGAGAACGAAAATTAGAAGAAAGAAGCAAAACACAAAAGGTAAAAGCAAAAAATGCTAGATTTCAACCAAATCGAATGAAGAAGAAACTGAATTTACAAACATCAACGTAAATACATTCCAGATCGTTACATTTTAGCCATGAAACAACATAGATCTTCGGTGAATTCAACAAATCCCTTACCTTGAGCCATGCCGCACCCAAACACGAAGAAGAACGAGCCCTAGATCGATTTAAATTACAGAGATTCGAACAATAACTACGATAAACACTCAAATCAAATACAGAACCATCTTTTCAAGATCAAAATGACGAAGAATCGATCCAGATCGAACCACCAAGTGTCAATCCCTCTCTCTCTCTCTCTCTCTCTGAAGTCGCCTCTCTCTCTCTCTCTCTGATTGGCTTGGATTCCCACGACTCTTAAAAGCAAAAAAGAAATTTAAAAGAAAAATAAATACTTTTATCTAAACTAAAGTACACCATTTTAACCATAACCCAACGTTTCAAAAACGTTGTCCTACCATTTTCCGATGACCGGCGTGTGGAAAACAAAATCGTGTGCTAGATTTTCCATATTTTGCAGCGTTTTTAAAAACGCTACTAAATAAATGTTGTTGTAACCCTTTTTTCTTGTAGTGAGTGCAAATATGATGATGAGAGGCGTAGTCGGAGCCGTTCTTATGAAAGATATTTAGTGTTTTCTCTCTGTCTCTCTGTCTCTCTCCATATTGTTCTTCATTGAATTGTGCTTTTGGACCTTTTATCTGATGCCATATGGATATTTGGAAGTGTCTCCCCTGCTCGTCGTATCCCCAGTCCTCGGCAGAGCCCCTCTCCTCACAGGACAGCTCCATCTAGGGGTGGGAGTCCTGATGGATGCAATCACAAAGAATGCTCACCTACTCCGAAAAGTGTTTCTCTGCGTGGTAGACCTGCTGTTTCTCAAAGCCCTTCCCGACATTCCGATGCTGATGTAAGTAATATTCCTCAAATCTAAGGTTGATTGCATCCAGACTTTTATGGCTTGACTGGTTATTGGGATTTCTGTTTTGTAGGAATAGGGAGTAATATAGTATGTGATGAATCTTTAGCTCATATTCTATAATTGATTGCTCGGGGCTAGTATTTAGGGTTGACTATTTTGTTGTGCTTGATGCATTCTTAAGTTTTGATGGTACAGTTGCACTCCAGTTTTCACGGGTTGGCTGCATTTTTAATCTTCCTTTGTTCTTCTACATTGTTTTTAAATCATATTTAATTTTGTTTGCATCTTTGTTTATATCAATTCAAATAACTGAGCTTTTTTACTTGTGATGGACCATGTACTGGCCTTCTATATTGTGTCTGGGAAAAGTGAATGTGGCTGACTTGCTGATGATGTAGCAGCTGTTGCTGTTGTAGCTGTGTTTTTACAAATTTTCTCTGATGATTTCATCATTGGTAAGGTTTAAAACTTGCATGCTACTGAAATCTCATTGGACTCTTGACTTTTGACCTGACCGTCCTTACTTTTGCTGACTTCAAATCTTGGGTCCAGAAGGCAGTCTTAGTAGCTGTGATGACTTGAAAGATGGTTGCTGCCCACATGCCTTGAGATTTAGCTGATGCAGTTAAACTGCGGGACCAGATATACCATAGTGCCGATTTTAATATGAACCTACTTGAGCGGGATATTGTAGCATGAGGTTGAGCATGGTGACATAGTTACATACTTTTTACCGATGTTTGGTTAGACTTCCCCTCATTTATTCTTAGCTATTAGACTGTTACCAATTGATATGGCATGTATCAATGTGCTTTGGTACATGCACCGGTGAATATGGTTTTGAGCTCAAACCAGTTGCATATTGTTACAGCACATAAGGTCGTGAATGTATATGTGAAGTGATAGCCGATATCTTCATACATTGGTTGTTGCTGCACTTCTTGCTGATAGCTTTTGAACCTGGTCTTACCATTTTTCGTGTTGATGAGTGATGCTGGGTTTGGTAGCTGTGGTGCTCCAGTAGCTGTGCTTTGTTTCATTGCCTTCCAGTACATCTTGCTGATGCTGAATTTTAAGTTTTGGTTTCTTAGCCCATTGCATTACTCTTGAAGGTATTGTTTTGCAGTCATCCAATACTTTGTCATCTTTGTTGCCTGTTTCATGCATATTTGGATTATGTATCTGTTTAGCTACGGAAATTTTATATCATTACAATAATGATAACTTATCCAATAAATATTCAGCAAGGCTCATGGTTCACTTTGTAGTGAAGGTTGAAATGTCGGAAGTTTTTCACTGGGTTAAACCTTAACAACTCTCTGTAGCCATTGTTTTGTTGGCTTTCAGGCTAGCATTATGGTCTGTGCTTTCCTCTCCTTTCATCCTAATAGCTGTTGACATGAAAACTGGTGTTCAATTATTGTTATTAGCTGTTGACATGAAAACCGATACCAATCTCATCTCTCTTCACAGCTAAGATGAGGAGCAAAGCAGAAACAAGCCATTCAACAGGGTTGCAATTTCTTCCCTTTATTTCAAATTTTATGAGAATCTACTGTCTGGGTTTATCCTCCTTTCTTTCTTTTTTTATTATTTATCTTTAAATCAAATTTCGTTCTGCTTGTGTGATTAAGCCCTCTTATCAGAAATCTAATCAGTCTTTGCCAGCTTGACTTATCGAGCAATCCTTTGGGTGATGCCATCTCTGCATTTTAGGTATCTTAAATTTTTCTTCTAGTTAAGTTGGCTTGTTTAGTGAGCCTAATGTATGTGTTGTTTTCTTTTTGTTGTTTTTCTTCTCTTTTGCATTGTTGCTTTTCTATGATGCAGTGTTATTTATTTTTATTAGCCATTTTTTTGTTTTTTTCCCCGATTTATGTCATGTAAGTAATTTTCCAAACCCATTAAATAAAAATTAAAGCAGGCCAATGAGATTTGTGTAATGTAAGACATGTACTCAGTTTCTGTATGGCTTTAATATAGTTGTTATGACAGTCAAAGCCCTATTGACTGTTTAAAACTTGAATTTGGTGAGGTTTTTGGAAAGAAATTAAAATAAAGGGTAAATTACAAATATACCTCCTGAAGTTTGCTTAAAATACAGATTCTCCTGTGATTTAAAAAATTACAAATACTCCCTTATTAGCATTTTTTATTTAACAGAATTAACTAAAAAAATGAAATTCATAATTGCTCTCCTATACAATAATAAAATTATCTAAATTATTAATTGAAACATATTTTTAACATCATTAAAAACTATTAATTGACTTGATGATTTATTAATAAAATGGGTGATTTGTTATGAAATTAGAAACGCCAAGGGTTAGAATGTAATTTTCAAAACTATAGGGGGCGATTCGTATTTTAATCAAACCTCATGGGGCGTATTTATAATTTATCCTAAAAAAAATTAGCTTGTAGAAAATTTACATTTTCCTTCTATTTTGTTTTGCCATCTTAATTATTATTATTATTATTATTATTATTATTATTATTATTATTTATTTATTTATTTATTTTTTCAAATTCAAGATTTAGACCGGCTGAAGTTTTTATAAAATTTGGGGCTTGAGTTGATCTGGTGAAATTTGAAGAATCCAAGTAAATTTTGGGTAAAGTTGGGGGTGAACTCTTTGAACTTTTTGCGTCCAAGATGGAAGTGGTGATTACAAAGGGTTGGCGTTGAAAAGTTGGCTAAAATTACAAGAAAATATTTTTAAAAATATTTTGCATCTTTTTGGACATTTGGTATGACAAATAGTTTTTGTGATAAATGGCAAACAAACTCATTTAGAAAGAAAATGTTTGAATTGTTTGAAGTGAAAAATATTTTGCAAACTAGAGCTTTTTCACCACCATCACCACAATCTCTATGATTCGATCATTACAAGTACTGCCATTACCATCTTGTCATCTCCACTACCGCCATTACCATCCTACCATCTCCACTACTTGATCATTATCACACTATCATCACTACTACCACCACTACAACCACACTAGTACTACCACTACTACAGTTATAGTACATTCATAAGAAAATGTTATAGAAAATGTTTTTAGGGTGCGAAATGCAGATTTAACGTGTTCTAAATCTTTTACTAAAATATTCATCGAGTATGTCAATGATATAATTTTTTTTTAATAAAAGTTTTACACTAAGGTCTCGTTTGGTAGTTACATGTTTTAGTCAAAAAGTCACTATAAATTGTCACATCACTCTCTCTACTTTTCTGGATATCTTCTCATAAAAAATCAAAAAGTTACTAAAATACCTTATTTCCAAACGAGGCCGTAAATTCTATTTGTTTTGAAGTAAAATGTTTTTGTCAAAAAGATTTTATTCATTTTTCGTTGTTTGGTTGAACAAAAAATAAGAAATATTTCTGAAGGAAAATATTTTTGCATCATTTTTTTTAAAATAACTTACTTTTAAAAAATTTATAAGTCAATTTTTATAAAGTTAACTTTCACTTATTACATTTTCAACATATTTAGCATTTTCAAATAAATATCTTAACTAACTAACAAGTCATAAATGATAATTTATTAAATTAAAATTTCTTATTTTGGCAATTAAATATTTTTTATTTCAAGTATCAACCAAACGCCGAAAAACAAAAATATTTTTTTTTCTGTGTAAAATCTTATAAGCTTTATGAGTTGCTAATCTATTCAGATCCTCGAGGATATGCTTCGGGGTTTTGTCCTGGATTTTAGTGGGACGTGGGAGAGGCACTTGCCATTGGTAGAGTTTGCCTACAACAACAGTTTCCAGTCTAGCATCGGTATGGCACCGTTTGAGGCCTTGTATGGCCGACCGTGTAGGTCTCCAGTTTGTTGCGCCGAGGTGGGTGATGTACCTTTGTTGGGTCCAGAGTTGGTTAGGGAGACGACGGAGAAAGTTGAGCTTATCCGTAGGAGGCTTGTTACAGCCCAGGGTCGCCAAAAGAGTTATGCTGACCGTAGGAGGAGGCCTTTGGCGTTTGAGATAGGTGATCATGTCTTTTTGAAGATATCACCTAGGCGAGGTTTGATGAGGTTTGGGAAGAGTGGGAAGTTATCCCCTCGGTTTATTGGGCCTTTTGAGATCCTTGAGAGGATTGGCGAGGTTGCTTATCGTTTAGCCGCAGTTGTCCGGAGTTCATGACGTGTTTCATGTGAGTATGCTTCGGAAGTATGAGCCGGATCCATCACATGTGTTAGATTGGACCGACTTAGAGGTAGTTGAGGATGCCTCGTATGAGGAGAGACCAGTTCGGGTCTTGGATAGGCAGGATCAAGTCCTGCGTGGCAAAACCATCCCTTTGGTAAAGGTTTTGTGGAAACATCACGGAGTGGAGGAAGCCACTTGGGAACGTGAGTTGGAGGTCCGCGAGAAATATCCGGACTTGTTTGTTGATGAGTGATCTGATATTTAGATTATGTAATGTTGTGG